GTAGGCAGGTGCACTTATAAATCACCCATCATGAAATGGGCAAACGTGTTGAAAGAATCTCCCAAAAAAATTTGCTGAAGCTGAATGCAACCTCTCGCAACAACACTAGCGGGTTCCTAGATGGGTTCCTAGAATGCTCACCTAGTGGGGGAAGCCTGTACTAGAACGGGCCTCTAAAAGATCATTCAGGTTTTTTGGGTGCCCTCTCGTATATTTCATTTTTCATTTTCCCTTTTAAGCTTTTTGGTTGCCCTGTTGTTTGCCCCTGCTGTTACTTACCACCTCAGGGAGCTGCAAAATTAATTAGTTGTCTCTAATTGTTTTTGCCAAAGGCTTTTAACTGGACAAGCTCAGAATCAGGTCAAATAAAGACAGCCTTGCAAGTGGGCTCTTCCAGAGACCCACCAGACTGGGCACATACCGACTTTTCTGGGACTGCGGCTTTCAAGGTGCTCCAAACCCATTTTGCTCCCCGTAGTGGCTGTCAGGCTGCTCGTTTTCACCATGATTGCAGCTGTTGGTTTTCAAGGCTGCTACTGAAATGGCGAAGAGGGATAGGAACGGTGCAGGTTAAAATGCCACAGAGCTTGCTGTTCTTACCAAGGTTTAGCTGTTTCTCTTGGATAAATGCTCCCTGCAAGTCTTTGGTAAAGTTTCAGAGTTCTGGAAAAGTTGGTTCTGACACTTGTGACCAGTTTTCTGGTGGAGGGAAATTTTTAGATGTCTTTACACCATTCTTTTTGCTGATGGCCACCTATGGAATAGCATTGATTCTGGAATCAAGTTCCGGCTTTTCAACTTCATGTCTTTTGGTTTGTGGCTGATAGTCGGCCAAGAAATCTAAGCTCTTATTTTCTTGTCTCAAAAATGGGCATAGTAGTATCTACCATGTGGAATTTTTGTAGAGGCCACATGAGATAATGCATTTCACAAGGAGCTGGATGAAAACTAACCTATAAGTCACTGTCAAATAGGATACTTAAGGAGTTTAAAAGGAAATCATGGGAAGAAGCTTGTAACCCTCAGGCTTGCTTCATTTGTGGCAGCAGAGCCACGATGAGTATTTTGGGGAATGAGGGCTTCACCAAGGGAGGTGGGTCTTAACTGTGGGAAGAGCTGGGGACATGAAGGTGTAGAGAGGGGGCATAGGACCAGGAAGCAGTCATTTGCCAGTCTGCTTGAAACACTGGCACCAGTGGGCAAGTCAGAACTTGAGGGAAGTTCCAGAAGCCATATACTCAAGTACTTCCAGCCATTAGAGTGGGACTGGGAAGGGGGAGTTTGGGAGAGGTATATGGGAAACTGTGTGTGTCTAGAGCTCCCAGCCCTGTACATCCACAGCAAGTCTGGGGCAGCTGTTGATCAGCAGGGCCAGCACTTGGGAAGACCAGCTGGACACACAAAACGAGGACAGGCTGGGGGCCTCAGAGCATCTCTGCATCTTGCTTGACAGCACATTTGACCGTGACAGCCTTCCTAGAGGCTGCTGCTTCATGTCTGCCTCTCAGATTCCTACAAGTTCCCTTTGGGCTATCTCTAACATGAAGTCATAAGGGAAATAAATTTTAGGAAACAAAGTTTCCAGTTTAAATAAGTTACCACCACATAATCTGGTACATATGACTGTGCAACAGGCTTATCCCTTTAACCTGGGAATTTACTTATTTGGAAAGTGGCAGCCAGGTACAAAGTGCCCTGTAGGTTGTGTTACATTGTTAAAGAAGAGTTCTGGTATGAAGAAACTTTTAAAAAGTTACTTCAAAGGGATTTAGATATTGAAGCAATCTTAGAGCATGTAAGATTAAACATTTAATTTACAAGCCTTGCTTTATTTACTAGATGAGTTCTGTAGAGATAATGTATCAAATGATTGTTTGTAAATCTTAAATAAAATAAGGAAAATCTTCCTAATAACAAGTTGCAGTATCAAGCATATGATCATTCAATTGGTTTTCAGTTGACATTGGCATACAGTTTTTTATCTTAGTTTCTTAGCAGAATGTTGTCAAGGTCATGGATGGTGAGACAATCACGGTTTTTGCAGACTAATTTTATAAATTTCATGCAAGTCTAAGGCAAGATAGGACACGTGTGCCTCTCTCTGTGCTGGTGAGAGGCTGCTGCATCTAGTGTTGTCTGGTTATTGGGTAGAAGAAAGCACACTGCTGTCTCAGTACCCTGCTTCCCACATGGTGATTTGCTCCAGGAAGGAGATCTTGTCTGCAACAGTAGCCATAATTAGGGCCATCAATATAGTAAGTTTATAATAATCCATGGCATTTTCCAGGACATTTTCCATTTGCATTCTGCTCAGTTTAAGTGGGTAGAGTGAACCACCCTTATACACACACATATGCACATACATACTTCCCAGAATCTTTCAAGTTTTGTTAGTAGCATAGATCTCTGGTTTGCACAGACTATACAGACATGAAGTATTGCTTTGTGCTTGTTCTTTCGGGGGAGGGTGGGCTTCAGGGTTTCTCTTGGCCCTGTACCCTGCATTGGCCCTGCCAGGGGCCAATGTATCTAATTCACTGTGTATCAGGAACTCCGAAAGTCACCTTTGGGTGGTTTCAGAGACTTACTAGGCCTACCGTGGGACGGGTCGATTTCTGTAAACCCACTCACTTATGGTGATGCCCTGGGACCCTGAGGATTGGCATTAACTAAGTGCTAACCTTAAAAAGTTTAGGCGTTTCTTTTCCCCCAGGATATCATTGTCTAGCAGATGGTCATGTTTACTTCTTTGGAGAAGACTAGGGAAGAAGAGTGGTGGTAAATACTAGTTATTTTGTTACTGGGTCTTTCCTCAGTGCTATTGGCTTCTTCCTTATTTTTATTTAAGAGACTCAGAGTCTGTGAAAGTCCTGTCAAAGACAGGCATTTGGTGAGAGACAGTGTCTTGGTACAGAGACTCGGGTCAGCCTTCTGATCTCCAAACCTAAATTAAAAAAAAATATGCAGATCAGGTTTGAACTTTGTCAGCTGCCTGCCCATTTAATTTGGAACTGAAGTTTCATGATCAATCACTTGCCACCTAAGATCCCTGCTAGTCCAGCCAGTCTGGCGACCACTCTGCCATGCCTCTTGCAAATAACTGTGCCCGCCTTCCCTCCAGGACCAGTGCTGTCAACACATCTCTGCCACCCGGGGTCCTGATCCTCCCCACTGAAGGCAGGAGGCTCATTTCAGCAAAAGGCCCTCCAAGTGTTCCCAGCTTGCACAGAATAGATATCTGCTGCTTCCCTATACACGATGTGTTCTCTAAGCCAAGGTGAAGGGCATATCCCCTGGGCCTTCTTGGGGGACACAGGGGTGGTGAGCAAGTTGCAAATGATAAATGAACAACAGCCTTTTTGTTCCAAGTAGTTGGATGCCTGCCTCTACATTACGCCGAGGAATTTCTGGCACCTCACTTTGTTTAGTTTTGGCCACATTTGAGTCCAGGCTTTAGTCAAGCAGTTGAGCAAATAATTTAGAAGCATCCCCAGCTGCTTGAGTTAGCACGGTGAATAAAATGTGTCTCTATTCGGCCTGACTTAAATTACGGCTCTTTCCCTCTGGGCTAGCACCTTCAGATCTCTCTGCCATGTGGTCTCAAGGCTTCCCTCTGTAATGTAACACAGTCTTGCTGTTCTCTCTGCATGTGAGTCTAGTCATGTGTCTGGAGGCAACAAGGAATGGGAGGATGCAGTCCTCGTGTCTCATGGTCTCGTCAGCAGAGGAAGGGGGGTGGGGGAGCGCTTCTCTGCTGAGGTAGGAGACTCAGTAGGTTTGGGGGCTTCTGCCACTTGAATCATTCCACATGGCCCCTTTAAACTCTCAGATTTAGCTCTTTCATAGTCAGTGCCCTCTTCTGCTTCTGGCCAGGATGAAGTGACTGTGCTTGCTCTGAACATCTGTGACTGGTACTATTGCTGTGTGATAAACCTGCTCGACTCTGGCTTAAAACAACAGCAGTGGTTGACTCTCTTGTGGTTCTGGTTTCAGTGGAGGAGCTCAGGAAGACTTGGCTGGGCAGTGGCTTGGGCCCTCTCGAGCAGGTGCATTTGGTGGTGGCTGGAGCTGGGATAGCAGGGACTGGCTGGGCGACTCTCCTCATCTTGTCTCAGGGCCTCTCTGTGTGCTCTCCTTACATACATTGCCTCGGGCATCTTCCCAATGTGGTGACCTCAGGGCAGCAGACCCACTTCCACAGCAGCTCCAGCTCCGAGCGAATATTGCAAGAGGACCGAGCTGTGTGGCCTTTTATGGTCCAACTTTGAAAGTCCCATAGTGTCACTTTGACCACAGTTCCAAGCCCACCCAGAGCAGTCCCCAAAGAATAAACTGACATGTAACTACAAGCCAGTGGAGGACATAGGAGGACCACAGTGTCCTTGAGTAAGCCAGCCAGATACCTCCACCTCCTCCCAGGACTGGCAAAGCGTGTCCACCTTGCAGTGCGTCTCAGCGGTCCCACCAGCGGTGTCCATCCGCGCCTGCACACCTCTGCTCACACTTCACTTTATTACATCCACAGATCCTGCGTCTTTCATGCGAGAAGGTTCACAGCCTGTGGGCACCGTTTTCCCAGCAGCATCTGCTCACTACCTGTCTCTGTATCCATTTTTTAGCAATAAAGAATTTTAAAATTAATGTATACACGTTTTATTTAGACTTAATGCTGTTGTACCCTTGATAGACGATAGTATAGTGTGAAATAGCTTTTATGTGCACTGGGAAACCAGACAATTTGTGTGACCCACTTTGTGGCAATACTAGCTTTTTTGCACTGGTCAGGAGCCAAACTCACAGTATCTCTCTCTGAGACATGCCTAGGTTTATTTCCTGCAGATCTTGTCTCATGTAGCCTGTGTCCTAAGTGTGTGAAATAAATGAGAAGTCTCAAACATTGAAGAAACGGTGTTGGGGTGTGTGAGACAAAAGGTGTCATATGTGCTAAAAAATAGCCACTGGTCACAATTAAGCAATTTCGTTATTTCTGTCATTTCTAGGCAGAAGAAATCCTCAGGCAAGAGCTGAAGAAAAAAGAAACACCAAGCTTGTACTGTTTACTGGGCGATGTCCTCGGGGACCACGCTTGCTACGACAAGGCCTGGGAGCTGTCCCGACACCGCAGCGCACGGGCACAGCGCTGCAAAGCCCTGCTGCACCTCCGGAACAAGGAGCTTCGGGAGTGTGTGCAGTGCTTCGAGCGCTCAGTGCAGATCAACCCCATGCAGGTGAGCGGCTCATGGGCCCGCTCAGCGTGGCTCTTCGGGGTGAATTTTACCGAGTGAGTGCCCACTTTCTATCCTGGTGGCTGAGGAGCTCAGAACTCAGTCTCCAAGAGACTGTCTGCTTGTCACTGAGGGGGGCAGCTAGGCTTTCTCTCTCACCTTCTGCTGCCTGAACCTTTCTGTTTCATTTTTTATTTATTTTATCCATCCTTACCTCCAATACAACTGTTAGAATTAGATGCCATTTTGAGCAGTTGTGTTAGGGAGGAAATGAATGAGAGTCAGAATCGCAGATGACAGGACCCTGCGGGTTATTGCTGGGATCAGTCATGAAAGAAAGACCTTCACATAAGTAGGATGGCAGATAGAAGAGGACTGTGGATCATTTTAAGGACAAAATTGTGCATAGTTACATATACACAAATTTAAATATTTAAAACATTTAAAAATGTTTGGAAAAAATGATACAAAAAGGGTCTGGGTCTGACCTAGTTTTGAGGGGAAAGAGGGTAGCGTTATTTTGCACTTAATGGTATTCATTTACCAAGATGGTTTTATTTTCAGAAATGGTCATGTTTTTCTATGGGCTTTGATAACTGCCCTCCCAATTCACTAATCAAAGGCACTTATAACGTCCATTGTGGATCCTGAGAGACTTGTGCCCTTACTGAGTAAAATATTAGTTAAAATACTATTTTAAGATTAGTGACTAACCTCACTGGGCATTTTGCCAGTAATTGAGTCTGGATGGTTTGACTCCAGAGCCTCCACTTATTTATTTATTTATTTACTTACTTACTGTTATTTACTTATTTTGATTTTAATTTTAATTTTTTTGAGTCAGAGTTTCACGCCATCCCACGGCCACTGCAGCCTTGACATGGTAAGCTGAGGTGAACCTTCTGCCTCAGCCCTCCAAGTAGCTGGAACTGCAAGTATACACCACCACCCCTGGCTAATTTTTTGATTTATTGTAGAGTCAGTGTCTCGCCAAGGTACCCAGGTTGTTCTCAAACCTCTGGACTTAGGCTGTCCTCTCGTCTCAGCCTCCCAGAGTGCTGGGATTACAGGCGTGAGCCTCTGCATCTGACCTACACTCTTTTTTAAAAAATTGTTTAATTGTAGTAAGGAACATATAAAATTTACCACCTTAGCCATTTCTAAATATACAGTGCAGTAGTGTTAAATATATGTTCATCAGCCGGGCTTGGTGGCTCAGCCTGTAATCCCACGCCTTTGGGAAGCTGAGGTGAGTGGATTGCCTGAGCCCGCGGGTTCGAGACCCGCCTGGGCAGTGAGACCTCATCTCTGCAATAAATCAAAAAATCAGCCGGGCGTGGTAGCACATGCCTGTAATTCCAGCTACTTGGAAGGCTGAGGCGGAAGGATCGCCGGAGCCCAGCAGGTCGAGGCTGAGGTGGCCGGGAGCGGCCACTGCACTCCAGTCTGTGCGACAGAGTGAGACTCCGACTCAAAAAAAAACCAAAACAAAACAAATAAATATATGTTCATCTTGGACAACAAATCCCCAGAACTTTTTCATCTTATAAAACGAGAACTCTATACCCATTGAACAGGTTTCCACTTCCCCTTCCCCCAGCACCTGGCAGCCTACTTGCTTTCTGCCTGTGAATTTGACAGCTCTGGATACCTCATACAAGTGGAATCATACAGTATCCGTGCTTTTGCGCCTGGCTTATTTCAAGAGCGGGATGTTCTCAGAGTGCGTCCATGCTGTAGTGAGTGGTCAGAACCACCTTCCTTTTTAAGGATGAATACTCTTGCACCGCATGTATGTATGAATACTGCTCCATTGCATGTATGTACTACGTTTGTCCCCATCTGCCCCTTCTCAGAACATCCAGATCAGTCTTTTCACCCTCGGGTCCAATGTGACAACAGCAAGTCCCCTGGCGACTTCGCAGCTCCCTGGTCTAACTCCTGTCACTTCTCTGTCACCCTCCATAGCCCACACTGCCCTGTGTTCTCTGACTATAACCCCGTCTGCCTCGGGGTCCTCTTCTTGCTCTTCTTCTGTCTGGAATGTTCTTCAGATACCCGCATACCTTGCTCCTTTCCTCATTCAAGCATTTGCTAAAAATTGTTGCTTTCTCAGAGGGGCCTTCCACAGTCATTCCGTGTAAAGCCACACCCATCTTGTGCTCCTGATTTTCCCTCCCTTCTCTGTTTTTCCCATAGCACTTAGCACATTCTAATGTTATGCATGGCTTACTTTCAAAAAATCCTGTTTCTTTTCCACTGGAATGTGAGTCGCTGAAGGCAGGCGTTTCCTTCTGTGTGGTTTGGTCCTGTGTTCTTCATGCCTGTAACAGTGCCGTGTGCATGTTAGGTATTCAGTGAGTGTTTGCTGAATGAGTGAATAATAAATAGTATCTGTAACCATTTATTCATCAAATATATACTGATTTTCTGCTGGGCACATAGCACTGAGCCAAAGAATAAAGTAGCAGCAGATTACCAGGTGGTCCAGTTTGCACCCTTGGGTACGACTTAGTGAAATAAATGGGCAGAACCAGTCAACAGTACAACACATTAAAGAAACACCAGGGGTTTATCGGTGAAGCACTAGTTACGTGGAAGTCAGAGGGAATGTTTCTACCTTTGGTGGACAAGGGGAGGGGATGTTGGATTTGGCTTTGAAAGACAGGTAGTACTTGGGAGGCAAGAAAGGGCTGTGGGGAAGGTGTGTCCGGCAGACGAACAGGTGCCAGGCCCTGGAAACAGAAAGAGAAGGGGTGTGTGTGTTGGGGAACCTAGGGTTGGGGCTGACTGGTGGTTTAGAGTGAGGGAAGCAGGACGGTTATAAGGGAGCTGGGCTGGAGCCAGCTATGAAGGCTCTCAGACGTGAGGTGCAACCGCTGGGCCTCTTACTTGACAGATGGGGAGCCATCGAAGGCTTGGTTTGTTTGGGCCCTTGTTGCACATGCAGGAGTGTGATGTGTCAAGAGGTAACCCAGGAGTATTGTGTTAGGAGCACTGGGTGTGGGATACTCCAGACGTGGGCAGAGTTAGGAGCTGCAGGGACAGTCTAGCTGTCACCTTGGCAGTTGGCAGTGTGGAGGGGCTGTAGGAAGGAGGTGACGAAGGGAGGGAGGTCACAAGGGAGGATTGACAGGCCTCGAGGGCCTCACTATATAGTCTAGATGTCATTACTCAGATAGACAAAGAAAGGACACCCGCTCAGAGCCGAGTCACCGCACATGCAGATGTCACGTGAGCATATCTTGCAGCTTGTCATATGGATTCAGTGCTGGCAGGCTGTGAGCCACACGGAGACATGCAGGCCTTTGACACTGCAGTTGCACAGAACCACTGCGAGATGGGAGCTTGAACCCCAGCCTCACTGGAGCTTGAGAACTAAGTTTGAACCAAGCTCCTCTGTGCTGTGTCGTCTCCTCTCATCCTCGCAGTAGAAGGAAAACAGAAACACGCAAGTTAGAAGTCTGTCCTCCCTTTTCAGACATATCCAAAGATTAGGTTCAATAACAAAGTATAGGTAAACTGAGTGTGGTGTTTGAATGACTTTTGCACATCTTAATGACTTTCTAAAGTCAAATTGGGATAAGAATAGTTGTATCTGGAAAGAATTGGAGGGAAAAAGACTGTGTCTTCTCATCTTTTAGGTTTAAGCATGTTATAGAGTGACAGCTTGAGTAAAAAGGGCTCCTATGAAGTGAGTGAGAGCTCAAACAGAAAAAGAGAGCATTCCTGTGGAAAGCAGGGGTGTTGAACCTTTGCCAGGGACAGTCTGCGTGACTGAGCAAGCTGTTGTGTGATGATCTGTTAGAGACCGGAAGACTCACGCCATGGATACCTGTGCTTTGAGACTGCCAGCTGTCATTCACTTATCCCACGTGGCTCATGCTCACAGGCGACTTCTGGAACGACTAAAAGTCAGCCTTAGACTTTGGAGCTTGTGGGGTGTTTGAAGCTGAAGAAAATGGGAGGCAAGATTTCATAGACAGAGGCCCAGAGTTAAAATAGGGCTCTCATTCCTGTGCCTGGGTGGCTATTATTCCTGTTGCCCCCTACTTTTAAGCAAAAAAGTAAAAACCAAGAAATTGCTTAGAGATCAAACTAGTATGAGTAGCACTGAAAAAGGAGAATGTTATTTCCTGTCCATTTTTTCTCCCCACTCAATACACACGTATTTTACCTTGACTTTTGTCAGTCCCCCCTGTCTTTTTAAAATTTTATTTTCCTTAACCCTCCCCCTTAATCCATTGGTCACTCACCTTTGTGAGTATATATGATATTGCTGGCAGTGTAAACACAGGCATACCTCAGAGATGTTGTGGGTTTGGTTCCGGACCACCGCCATAAAGCAAATATTGTATTAAAGTGAGTCACACAAACTTTTTGGTTTCTCAGTGGGTATAAAAGTTAGGTTTATGCTATAGTCTATTAAGTGTGCAATAGCATTATGTCTAAAGAAGCTATGTGCATACTTTAATTTAAAAATATTTTCTTGCTGAAAAATGCTGACAATCATTGGCACCTTCAGCAAGTTGTCACCTTTTTGCTGGTGGGGAGGGTATTGCTTCAGTGTTGACAGCTGCTGACTGATCCAGGTGGTGGTCGCTGAAGGCTGAGGTGGCTGTGGAAATTTCTTAAAATAAGACAACAATGAAGTTTGCCACATCAATGGGTTCTTCCTGTCACAAAAGATTTCTCTGTTGCGTGAGATACTGTTTGCTAGCCTTTTAGCCACAGCGGAACTTCTTTCAAAATCGCTGTCCATCTTCTCAGACCCTGCTGCTGCTTTATCCGTCAAGTTTATGGAATTTTCTAAATCTTTGTTGTCTTTGCAACAGTGTTCACAACATCTTCACCAGGACCAAATTCCATCGCACCACTTTCTTGTGCATCCATAAGAAGCAAAATCCCAGGCAGCCCCCTCAGGTCCCTTCCTGCTGTGGGAGCTTTTCTGTCCTCTCAATAAATCCTGCTTTCTCAAAAAAAAAGAAGCAGCAGCAAAATTC